TTTCCTTCTTGGTCATTCCTTTATATGTGATTGCCCCCAAGAATTTGTCTGGCCCTTCCCTCTAGACACCTCCCCGGTTAATCACATCCACAAAGCTTGCTTGTTTTCTTTCTTTCTTTCTTTCTTTCTTTCTTTCTTTCTTTCTTTCTTTCTTTCTTTCTTTCTTTTTCTGGAATCAGAGGTTGAACTCAGGCCCTTGCGCTTGCCAAGAAAGCGCTTATTCTACTGAGCCATCTCCCCAGCCCCTTACAGAGCTTTCAATGTAGCTGTGACTTCCCAGTCGGAATCCTGGTCTTCACTTCTGATGCTGAGCTCTAGATCTGTATCTACAGCTCTCCAACACCTCCCACTTACTGGAACACATCCAGCTGCTGAGAACAACAGTACTCCTCCACACAGCTGCCTTCACCTGACCTCTCACACCTTCATAACATCTCCAGTCTCCTCCCCAGCTCTACAGGAGTGCAATGGAGTAAGGGCCATTTCTGCGCTCTGGGCATCTGGAACAGACACAGGGAAGTTAGCTGTGATCCAGCAGCAGGTCGGGCATAAGGTAAACAGTTCAGAGCTGATTACAGCTCCAAGGAGGGCAAACTGAGTGAGATGTCACATGGCAAAACCATTGGGATCAGAGCAGAGGAAGCCTCTGGGTAAGAACCTCTCCTACGAAGAAGCAAGGCCAGTCCAGAAAGATGTTTGGTCCCCTTTCTATTGTAAAGCCCAAATAATTTTAAGATCACATATAGAAATAAATAGATAAAATGTGTTTCAATTAAAAGGACCCACTCACTGGTTTACGGCCCTAGAGCTTGAGCAATCCATGTTCCTAAAACAAAGAGGACATAAGAAAACCTTGGATGGGGTCCTGTTACTTGGAAAACAACTGAGTCAGCCAAGGAGTTGCCCTTGGCCCTCCTCTTGTTTAAATTCTTGCAAGAGACATACATTCCCAAACCCAAGGCCTCACTATTGAAAGCCATAACAACAGGATGTCCCAGGTCACAATGCCTCGATTTCTTAAAAATGTTCCCGGAACATGACAACCACAAGGTTAGACCCCCCAGCTACCCCCGGACTTACTCCATTTGGTCATCTGGTATTGTAACTCACCAATTATTGTAAAGGGCAACCTACACTAACCAATGCGATTTGCTTCTGTAACGTGCTTGCTCCCCCCCATTTTGTGGTTTTTGCCTTTAAAAAACTATGCCTGTTTCACTAGAGGCGTGCTCTGCTCCTGTGTGTGCAGACCACCCTACATATATGTAGATAATAAAGCTTTCCCTTTGCGATTTGCATGAGAGACCGACTCTTGGGGTCTTCTTTCGCGGCGACTTGACCCTTACACTATGTATTTTCCATGTGTCTTCTATGTATGAACCAGGCCAAACAGAGAAGTTAAGGAACAGAAGACAATTGGCTTTCTCTCATCTACTGGGCCAAGTCCAAACTCCTTAGTAGGACATTCAAGACCTCTCCTGACCTGGTTCGTGCTTTCTTCTCCTTTTTTTTTTTTTTGGCGGTACTGGGGATGGAACTTAGGACTCTGCACTTGCCAGGCAAGCACTTATTGTACTGAGCTATCTTCCTGGCCCCATGCTTCTCTGGCTTCTCCATTTCTACTCCTCAGCTCACCCCAGCACTACAACTAGTGCATTCAGTGTGTCTCTTGTCTTTCATGCTTCTCTTTGTTTGGGACATTGCACCTGTGGATGCCTGAGCAATGGAGATGACTCACCTTTGTAGATGTAGCCCCAGTTCTTTTAACTGTGTTAGGTTTGCTCAATGATTCTGATGTTTCTTTGGTGTCACCTGTCACATACCTTCATCCCTCAACTATTTCGGTTGCCACACTGCCCATCTGTTTACTCACTGTCTTCAGTGAACTGCAGACTCTGTGAGGATGGAGTCTATGTTTTACTCAATATTTTAAACTCCAGCTCCTAACACAGTGGTTCATGCACATGAGGTGCATAGGAAAAATTTGTGGGTTCAGTCTTACAGAAGAGATGAACAAGGACGGAGAAAACTACAAAGCTGTGTGAAAAAGACCATGCCAACAAATTATTTTGGGCACAGAAAGGAAGGAATGCCAATTTGCAGGCAGCTATAACCCCCTCTTTGTGCCCTGCCTCGTGCAATCCAAAGTAAAAAAACCTGAGTAGTAATAAAATTTTATTTTTTAAATAGACAAAAATCTTACCCACATGAATGAAATTGGATAAGTTCCTTACACTGGGGAAGGGGATAGCGAGTGTCTCTTACTTGTTGATGCCTGCATCAGTCAGGGTGAAGGCATCTCAAGAATTTAACTGAAAAGAATTTAATGACCACTTGCAGAGATGTGGGCAGGGTTAAAGAAACCAGTCTTGGATGAAAAGCACTGCCATTCCAGGTCTGGAAGAGTGAGGAGTCTACAGCTGGCCACAGAGAAGCATAGCATCTAGAACTGTGGAGTGGTGGAGCTCACCCATGCTGCCCTCCCATTCTTAGATCAGCCTCTGACTCAGGAGTGAAGCCAGCTACAAGGCAGGGGCTCAGGCAGCCCCAGTGCTACAGACCTTAGAGCCTGCAGTTCTGGGCAGGATGGAGAAGGACCAAGTATGGATCCGGGTGGTAGTGGGGCAAATAAAGAATAACTGGCATAGAAGGGAGAGGCTATGGGGTATGATTCATTTGTCTTTCAGGTAATTCAGTATGGATCGGAAATCTGAGAGTGACTGTTCTAGATCTCATGTTTTGCTTATACAGTATTTAGACATCTGTGTATAGAGGCTTATTAAAAAAAAATCTATGAATTATTAGAACTAGGGTGGACAAAGCCAGTGATAGTTTAAAAATTTTTTCCAAGTAACTTATAGTCTCTCCCTCTTGAGAACCACTGATGTAGCCCCCTCTGTTTTTCTTCCAAGCTGGAAATTGAAATCCAGGAATATTAGGTAAGCACTACACCACTGAACCACACCCCCAGACCAAGTTTCTCTTTTTTTGTTTTTGTTTTTTAAGAAAGTGTCTTGCATGTAGTTCAGGCTGGCTTTGAACACCTATGTATCCCCGGCTGGCCTCAAGCTTGCATCGATCCTCATGCCTCAGCCTCCTAAGTGAGACAACACACCTGGCTTCATTTTTATTATTAGTGAAATGATTGTCCACAGAAATGAAAAAAAAAATGCCCTGACTTGCCTGATTTCTGAGAATTGTCTCTGAGTGTTACTAGAACTACCCCTTTTAGAGGGTTTAGCTGGCAGACTGGAATGTGCACTGCACCTATCTCCTGGCACCATGCCTACCTTTGATTGATGATGAAACTGAGGCTCGAATATGGAGTGACAGGCCCAGTTATACTATAAGCAGATCATGAGAAAGAGGGACCACTATTAAGTACAGTATTTCTCCTAGTTCAGTGCTCTTTTCAGGCAGCACCTTTTGTGGGTCTGCCCATGTGTGTGACAAAGCCCGGGCTGTAGCAACTCTTGTCCTCCACTCTGGAGACCTAGATTTCTCCACACCTCAACTGGAAAGAAAACAGAGCAGGTAGTTTTCATTGACCAATGGAGCTCCTTCAGGAGTTGTCGAAGGGGAGTGTGGATGACTTTAGGTGACTGTCCCCCATCCCAAACCGTTGACTCTCACCCTTACTGAACCAGGATCTGTACCACTGGTTGTCCATTCTGTGCTAGGGCAGGGCTATCCCTTCGCTGAGGGGTTGTCAGGTCAACAGCACAGGCTTAAGGAAAGCTGAGTAGGGCCCAGAAGACAAGGAAAAGATTCACTGTAGGAGGAGCTCACAGGAAGCTGTAGCCAGTTTGTCCCTCCCTGGTACTGCGCAAGGCTTGGTACACCAGAGGACCTTAGTGTCACCTCCCTAGCCCTTGATGGCTGCTAATCAGGTCTCTCCTTTCCCCCTGGTCCCCAAAGCTCCAAACACAGCTAGTGAGCATGGACTACAAACCCCGGCACAGACCCCTTCCCTCTCCTTGGAGGTTTAGCTGAAGTCTCCATCTCCAGGAAGCCTTCTGGACTTACTGGAAGCCCCCACAACATGCCTGTGTGGGGCAGAACCATAGAGATCATCCATTCATCACACACATGAGGAAATCAAGGCCAGAGATGGTGGTGATTCACCCAGTTGGAGGGCATGAGAGCAGCAGAACTGGAACCAGTTACAGTCCATTTAACACCTACTGGTTTGCCCATGTAATTCCATGATTCTGAGTATGCTCAGTCCCTCCATACTTGTACAACTTTATGTAATACCAGCATGAAATCCACTCACATACTAACAAAATTAATGCACACTGCTCAGCGTCCTTAGAGTTCAGAGAGTCTGCCTGCTGCCTGAACTTTCTGGTGTGTTGTTATTTGTGTGTGTTACAGTCGTCTCCGATTTGCGAGAAACGTGTGTCTAAGGACAGTTGAGAATCTGGCCCTTGTGTAGTGTAACTGCAATTCCCCATGTTTGTACATTCCTTAGGATTGTGGGTCTTTCTTTGTACCCACACAGGAGTCTCTTCTCCTGAAGCCGTGAGCTTGCTGATCGCTGTGTGTCCATTTGCTCTGTTTTGGTACCACAATCCAACTCATGATCTTGCGCTTGCCAACCAGGCGCTAGGCCACTAAATTTGTCGTCCCAGCCCTGGGTCCATTGGATGTGTGTTTGTACATAGTGAAAGTTGTGCAATTGTGTCTGTGGGGATTCAATACTTGAAGGCCAACAGGAATCTGTTCTGAGGAGAAATCGTGTCTGCTGGTTGTCCAGAGCTGAGATGTGTTTGTTACTGCCAAGCCAGCCGCACTCTTCAATCCTGTCCAGGGGTCAGTCACGTTCCAGGATTCCTGGCCCCGCCTCCAGGAGGGGCGGGGTCTCTGGCTCCACCTCCTGCCCGAACGAGAAGAGGGGCGGAAACCCGGAGAGCTCCGCTGGCTTAGCACTCCAAGCCCCGCCCCCCAGTTCCCGCCCACCCCGTCTCCCGCCCGCTGATTGGCCTTGTCGGCGGTGACGTCGCAGAGTTCACAGACAGAATTCCGAGCGCCGGGAGCAAGGGAGGGATTCTTGGTCCCTCAGCTTTGTTGCCTTGCTGTCTGCTCACCTGGCCTCTGGTGCGTTCCGAACACTGCAGCCTGGGGCAGGTGTCCCCCGCCGCCGCCGCCGCCGCCGCCGCCGCCGCCATGGTGTCCCCGGTCACTGTGGTGAGTGAGCGAGCGAACGAGCGAGCGGGGTTTCTTCTCTCACGCCCGCGGGAGGGAGGCAAACACCGGGCACGTGACTCGGAAGCGTGACTTTGTTGATCTGTGTGTGTCTGGCGCCGGTCGGCGGGGTCGCGGCCTGGAACTGAGGCGGCTCAGAGGGAGCGTGGAGGGGGGACAGGAGGGTGGCGGGGACCTCCTGGGAATCCTGGCCAGGTTGCTTTCCTCCTGGTCCTCGCCTATAAACAAGGCGCTGGAGGGGATGCCCAGTTTACGCTGCGCTCCTGTAGTGCTAGGGAAGGATGGATCATTATTGACGTTGCCTCCTTTTCAGACTGTCTCCACTGCAAGCCTTTGTCTGGTCTTCGCAGCCTTCTTTTTCTAGCTCTGGATTCGCTATGGGTGTCATGGTCTTCCTGCCTGCAGCCAGTTTCTCCTAGAAATAGGGGGCCGGGTTAGAGGAGGGAGAGGGACCATGATGCTTGGAGGGTTCGGAGGTTGGGAGCGTGGCAGCACCCCCTACCTCCACCTCTGCCTTACCCCCACCCCGACTACTCTCATGGGGTGGTGGTTTCCTTGGGAGTCATCTGTACTCCCTTTTCTTGCCTCCTGTGGAGCAAGAACAAGCGTCCCCCTCGCCCATCACTCCAATCAGTATCTGGTGGTCTGGGAACCTGAGCGAGTCCCCAGTGCTCTGTGCTTGACAGCTCACCCTGCCAGAGACACTTTAGCAGAGAAGAATAACTTGGGACGAGTATGGGTATCCAAGTCTCTCGCAGGCCAAAGAAAAGCGCTCGCCGGAATCCCAGCTTCACAATCTCTGCAGCTGTCCCCACCCCCAGCTTGGACTGTGCCTGCAGTGGCCTTGGGTACAACCTTTCTTCAGCCGCCCTCCCCCTAATCCGGCTGAGACCAAGTCAGCTGCTCTAACTTCCCTCTCTCAGTTGCCTGTCTCCTCCCAAGCTGTCTGCTGGCTCCGGATCAGAAGCTGGGAAGAGAAGCCCTCCCCAACCCCCTTCCTGCCTTTCCCCCACCCCTCCAGTTGCTCTTGTTTTCTGGCAAGCAACACACACACACACACACACACACACACACACACACACACTCCCCAGTCCCTGAGGTCTCTGGTGTTCCAGAGACAGTTTTCTCACTCCCATCTCATGGGTCTCTCTCTGCCCAGCATCCCTGGCCACTGTCCTTGTCCTTGGTGCCACTGTTTGTCCAGGGTAGGTGGAGTGGAGGCCGAGGAAGACAGTGCCCGTGGGGGTGGAGGTGGTTGTCCTCCCACCCTCCCACATTCCTGGCACTCACCTGGTGTTGCCAGGGCCCTAAGCTTGTGCCCTGGCCATGGCTGAGGATCATAAGCTGGCCAGCCTCTGTGGTTCCACACAGCTGGGGGCTGATGCTGGCAGGGAGACTGGAATAAGGAGGCACCAAGGAGGCAGAAGGAGGGAGCAAGGAAGGGAAAGCATTGAGCTGAGGAAAGGGATGGTATGCCCAGGCCTGTTTGCTGCCCAGCCCTGTGGACAAGAGTAACCAGGACATTAGAGCCCTTCCCCTTCCCAAGGAATCAGGCTTAAGGGTGACGATGGGTTTGTTCTCTCACTCCAGTGGGTTGCAGAAGGTTAGTTACTGTGTCCTTTCTGTTTGGGGTGGTGTGAAGGGTAAGATCTTGTTTCTGATGTAGTTGGTGGGATTGAGGGTAGGGGCTCTGAGCCCCACAATGGGCTTCTGAGCTTCTAAGATCTCAGTGCTGCCCTTGTCCTCTGTCTTCCAGGTGAAAAGTGAAGGACCCAAACTGGTACCCTTCTTCAAGGCCACCTGCGTGTATTTTGTGCTCTGGCTGCCCTCGTCCAGCCCATCCTGGGTCAGCGCTCTCATCAAGTGCCTGCCCATCTTCTGCCTGTGGCTCTTCCTGCTGGCGCACGGCCTTGGATTCCTACAGACTCACCCCAGCGCCACCCGCATCTTTGTGGGGCTGGTCTTCTCTGCTCTAGGAGATGCCTTTCTCATCTGGCAGGACCAGGGCTACTTCGTGCATGGTCAGTGGTCACAGTAGCTGCCTGGAAGGGGCGCTGAGGCTGGGGAGAGTCTGGGGAAAGCCAAGGATTTGGACAAGGGAACGTTTGAAGAGGGAGTTTGAGGTTTTTCTGGAGCCAGGGACTGTGGGGTCCCCTGTTGGTAGATGCAGGTGATCTAGTGTGATCATTTCAGGATAGCATGTATATGTATGGGGGTGATCTTTACTTTGTGGATCTTCCTGCCCCTATGACTCTTAACACAAAGCTGCTGGGTTACCCCCACCCCCAAATACTCGTAGTCACCCAGCCCACCTTTAACGTCTCTTGTCCGCTCTCACTCCCAGGTATGCTGATGTTTGCTGTGACCCACATGCTCTACGCCTCGGCCTTTGGCATGCGGCCACTGGCTCTCCGGACTGGTGTGGTGATGGGAGTGCTCTCTGGCCTGTGCTATGCCCTGCTCTACCCGGGCCTCTCAGGTGCCTTCACCTACCTGGTGGGGGTCTACGTGGCCCTCATCAGCTTCATGGGCTGGCGAGCTGTGGCAGGGCTGCGGCTCGTCGGGGCAGCCTGGCGCTGGACGGAGCTGGCAGCTGGTGGTGGTGCGCTGCTCTTTATGATCTCAGACCTGACCATCGGGCTCAACAAGTTCCGCTTTCCTGTGCCCTACTCGCGGGCACTCATCATGTCTACCTACTATGCTGCTCAGATGCTCATCGCCCTGTCTGCCGTTGAGAGCCAGGAGCCAGCGGCAGACAACAGACTGAGCAAGACCGACTGAGAGGCCAGGGTCTGTGCATCCCTCTTTCTGGGAACCTACAGGAACTGGATCAGGATGGCTGCAGGGCAGCCTGGGGCAGCAGGTACTGCCTGGGGGAATTGATGAGTCTGAGGAGGTAAGCAGAAGGATCTGCCTAGCAGAGCTAGTGGTCTGGGACAACACTGCAAGCTTAGGGGGGCAGATGCTTGCCCCTTGCTGGAGGCAAAGGTATACCTGTCCCATCTCTACCCTGTTGGGACTGTAAGACACCCCTCACCCCAGGATTATGGTGCTTACCTTTTTGACCCTGTTCCGAGCTAAGTGGATGAGTCTGATTGTATCTCTTATGCTGAGGACCAATGCAGCACTGGGCTTATCCATTCCCACCATTTCTGATCTGCATAGAGTTGCAGGAAAGAGGGGAAAACTGTTGAGAAGACCCAGGGCCAGGGCTTGGAGGGCTTTCACTGGTCCTTAGTTGGGAAGATTGGATGAGGGTGGATTCTCCTTTCCCATTATCTATCCTTAGTACTTGAACAATCTTTACGTGGTGAGTGTGAAAGGGAAGGGGTGTCTGTCTTGGTGGCAGGAAAGGGAGCTTCCTTGGTTGGAGAGCTTGTGTGTACCAGGGATTCAGTAGGCCCTGGGTCACTCATAGGCCAACTCAGAGTTCAGGCCCCAACAATCAACCTTAGATCCTGTTTCCAGAGCTAGGGTGAACGATGCCAAAGGAAGGGGCCAGTCTGCGTGCATGTGCGTGTGCATGTGTGTGCATGTGCGTGTGTGTGTGTGTACACTTAAGGGGTCTGGTTTCTGGCTTGTTTCTCTACCATATTGTTTCTGTCCTGCTGTCTGTAAAGTCTCATAGGGAGAGGGCCTCAGGGAGCTGCTGAGGGGTACGGACCCCTCACTTTACACACCCATCCTCAGTACTTTCTTCCCTGCCCCTCCTGCACTGGTCGTAAAAGGAAGGGGCTGCAAATGACACTCTGGGGTCTTAAAATCCAAGGCACATTCAATGCAAGGGGAGCAAGGATGGAACAGTCCATTCTCTACTGCCCGTGTGAAATAAAAAATAAAAACCTAGGGCCGTTGACTTTCCTACCTGTCTGGCTGTGTGGCACATTCTTGTCCTGGAGAGGAGGTGGGGGCATGGTGTCAGGGCCCTGGCTGTCCTCAGAGGCTGGATCACAGTCTTGTGGAGGGCATCTCAGCACTAGGCTGGTTCCTTGGCTCTGCTGCCCTCATGCTGGTTGGAATGGGTCTCACTTCCCTGGTCACATGCATGCATGAGGATGTGGTTCAGGAGGGTGGGGATGGGTGACACTTGCCTTTGTTCACCTTTTCTGTTGTTCTGCTCTGTGCAGATGGCTCAGCAGTCTTGGTGACTCTTAGTTACCCTTTGTCCTCCTCTTGCTGTGCCCACAGCCTTTCCCACACCTGCTATCTGCTCCAGAACATCCGGGTTTCCTTTTAAGTATCTGCTACTTGGACTCTGAGGAATGGGATTAGATTGACTGATTCATACTCTGGCCCTGACAGAATAAAGTGTCTCTCCAGTCTGGGGGCATTTTCATTAACAAGAAGGGACTCCTTAGTGGTGAGGTGACTATGCCATTGGAGTTGTTGCAGATTTGTGGGGATGCCATAGATATGACTCATCCCATTTGTGTGTGGGGGGTGTTGGATGAGTCTAGTCTTTCTCCTTTCTTTCATTCTTTTTTTCTTTCCTTTCTTTGTTTTTTGAGATAGGGTCTCACTGTGTAGCCCAAGCTGGCCTCATACTCTTGGTGATCCTCCTACCTCAGCCTCCCGAGTGCTGGGATTACAGGCATGCACCACTATGCCTCACTAAACCCATGAGTTTTCTTATCTTTTTTGTTTTTCATGTATTTGGTATGGGGTCTCACTACGCAGCTTGGACTCATAGTGATCCTCCTGTTTTCAGGCTCCCTAGCGCTGGGATTACAGGCATGCACCACCATGCCCAAATCTCTGTAGCTGGTTCAGTGTGCGCGGGGCAGGGCTGGTGTGGCATGTGGTACTGGCGATTGAACCCCGGTCCCTGCGCTGGCATAGGCAGGTGCTTAGTCTGTTGAGCTATCTCACCAGCCCACCCAGGAGTTTTCAGATTAGTCCCCCCACTTTATTTCTGTTGCCTTTCCCTTCCCGTCCCTCCCTTCCCTTTCCCGTCCCCATCTCCACACCTATCTCCTTTCTCTCTCTTCCCTCCTCCCTTTTGTGCTTATGGTGCTGAGGATCAGACCCAGGGTCCTGCACATGCTAGGCATGCCCTCCACCACAGAGCTGCACGCTAGCTGCATACCAGGGTTTTTACAGATTCTTGGTGGGAGTTAGCAAAACAATGAGAAGAAGAGGGCCCAAAGGCTGATTATTTATTTATTTTTTGGTGTTTTGAGGGTGGGTCTCACTGTGTAGTTCAGGTGACCTTGGCATGTGCCACCACACCTGGCTTTTTTGGTGTTTTAAAAGAATCTGAACTATGTAGTTCAGGCTGGCCTTGAACTTGCTATATAGCTCAGGCTGGCCTGGAACACACTGTGATCCTCCTGCTTCAGCCTTCCAAGTGCTGGTGCTGGGATTCTAGGCATGCACCCTGATACCCTTCCAAGACTTATCTATTCTCACTTCAAGTCTGTAGCTATAAATTCTTTCTCTTCAGGAAGCATTCCACTGAAAGATGTTTGAAACTCAGTGAACCAGATGACTAGTTCCTTGTGGCTCTGATAGTAGGAGTCCTTGGACACTAACAAGGCAAAATTCTAATCCTTTCAAACACCAGCATGCTCAATAGAGACCGGCCTGGTGTGAAGCAATGGAAGGAAGAAGGACGGGGAGAAGGCTGAAGTCAGAAGAGTGGGCCTTGCCTGGAGGCTGTAGGGGAGCAGCCCTGTTCAGGCCTGGCACGGGGCTGGTTGCTCTGCTGTGGGTGGGTTTGGAGCTGGGTCCCTCCTGCACTCTGTCCACCTCCTTGGCCGGGAAGGGTGAGCATGCATTTATTTTATTTTATTTATGTATTTATTTATTTTTGTACTGGGGATTGAACTCAGGACCTTGCGCTTGCCAGGAAGGCACTTAAGTTGCTGAGCTGTCTCCCCGGCCATTCTGTGCACTTACGGTCCTCTGCTTGCACAGAGTGTTTACACTGGTGTGTACCAGAGGGCAAATAGAGCTTCGACACTGTGGCCATCTGGAGAGTGGGCCAGAAAGCCCTGCTCATGCAGCCTCGTGGAGCTCACATAGGATGCTTGGGTTTCTTCTCAGGCTCTGTGGTGGGTGCTAATGGTCTTGTCATCTTTGTCTGAAAACCCAAAACAAACATTCATTAGCTAATGATGTTGGGGACCAGGTAAGCTGCTGGACTTTGAGGTACTACACAGGACCTGGGACTGGGCCTTGGGACCCTCAATCCCGGGTTGTCTGTTCATGTGGTCAAGAGTTGCCAGGGGTCCTGCACCTGACATTTCTGGAGCACAGGGCCAGACACTGCCCCGCTCTGTCTCATTCGGGCCTCACAGCCCCCAGAGGTGAGGAAATGGGCTGAGAAGGTCGTCTGCTAAGGGTGCATGGCCGGGCAGTAGTGGTGTCGGGCCCTGGGCCCACGTGCTTACAACCTAGAGTGAAGTCAGGATCTCCAGCTAGGCAGGGAATGCCGCCACCTCCTCCGGTGCCCCTGCTGGCCTAGTTCTGTTACACAGTTTGGCAGTCACTCTGCAGGCTTTATCATCTCAATGTCAGACACTTAGCAGAGTGCTTGAGGGACAGCAAAAGGATATGGTTCTTGTTCCAAGGAAAGGCAACTATAACTGGATGGATAAAGTCAAGAATCACGGAGACCGAAACAGTGGCGTATAGAACTGAGGGGGTGACAGGCTAAGCCTGGAGAGATGGGGGTACCTTGTTGGTTGAGATTTTACCACAAGGATCAGGGGAAACCTGGGAGGGGGGTTGGACAAGAGGGAGCGAAGCAGGTCCACTCTATTGGGTTCATGCTGCTCGCTGTGAGGACAGTGGGCTGTGTGGGAAGGAGTGAACTGTCTCCCCCCTCTGTGCACATAAGTGAGCAGAAACAAGTCACGAGTACATGGGAGGGGGCTTCTCCAGACTTCCCTGCTTGTGCCTTCCACCTGTCCTCATCCTGGACCACTAGTTTTCAAAGTTGATTGCACATCAGGATCATTTACAGAATTTTATTAACATCCAGATTCCTTTCAGAACTTACCAGAAAACTCATGATTGTTTTGTCTGGTTTAGGCCTAATGGGAACCTCTCCTCTCCTCTCCTCCCCTCTCCTCCCCCCTCCTCTCTTTTCTTCTCCCCTCCCTGCCCCTTCTCTCTCTCTCTCTCGCTCTCGCTCTCGCTCTCGCTCTCGCTCTCTCTCTCTCTCTCTCCCCCTTTTTCTTCTTTCATTCAAGGGTCTCACGATGTAGTTCAGGCTGGTCTTGAACTCGATGTAGCTCAGGCTGGCCTCAAACTTCTGGTGATCCTCCTGCCTCAGCCTTCCAAGTGCTGGGATCCTAGGCATGCCTCCACCATGCCCAGCAATATTTTTTCTAAAGGTCGCCTAACCCCACTGTGGGTTGCGAACCATGGCTTTATCAAGAAGTCACAAATACATCTACAGGAATATAACAAAAGACTTTGCGAGCACAGGAGAATGGTAACCCTGAGTGTCTGCACCAACTGTTGCAGTCAGATTAAATAAAGAATAGTGCCAGTGACACCGCGAGAGTTGGTTAATGGCCCAGGAAACTGTGGTTTTGCTTCTGTGTCCCACAGAGGACAACCCGCCCCTGCCTGGCTCTGGTCACGCCCTCACCATAGACCGTGAGGGGGCAGCTGCTGCGGTCACTGCCCGGCTCATGAGCACACTACTCACTGTCACCGCAGGTGGGGAGGACGGTGGTGCACATGCCGCTCGATTAGTTGAACCAGAACTTCGAGTTGGCCGTGGGGTTTCCAAGGGAGGCACAGGTTGTGGTGCAGTCCTGGCCGCGGAGCACTGGATGCAGCTTGAGCAGGATCAGGAGTGCAGTGGGGGGCACCAGTCCTCCTGGTAGGGCTTGAGCTCCACACTCAGGTCCTGGACTGCATGAATGGAAGAGGCAGGTGGTGGTGAGTGGCTCCAGGCATCCTACTTGTCCCTCTAAAGGCACCCTGGAGACCCAGCTTTGTGGAGCCACAAAGATCTGGGCTGGATTCTGAGATGCCAGCAGCTGTAGGGAGCCCAGTTATACTGATTCCTAAAGCCTCTTCCGTGCGATCCCCCACCCCACCCCCACCCCAGCGGTGGCCCAGTCCCCATCCACTCCATGATTCCTAAGCCCAAACAGAGGTTGCATGATTTTACATTTTCCAGACCAGTAGGGCCTACCCAGCCCCACCTTGTCAGGTCCAGGTGTTCACAACTTACCCAGCCAGACCCTGCCTTAGTCTCACCTCTGCATCTTCTTTGTCCCACTGGCCCCTGATTCTCCTGCTTGGGATGCTCTGCCCGCTCACTCACGTCCCCTGCCTGCCTGTTGGACTGGGGACTTCTCCTGAGCCTGAGGCAGCAGATGTCCTGGAGTCACAAAAACCTGTTTCTGAAGTGTCACCCTGCATTTGGCAGCCCTGTGACCTTGGGAGAATTAATCTTTTGCTGAGACCCATTTCCTCCTTTGTAACATAAAGACTAACAATAACTTCCTTTCATGGGAATAATGGGTAAAGAGCTCAACATGCAGTGCCTATTCAATAAACATTCACTCTTTTCTTTCCATGGGACTCTAGAGATTTTGTTTTTTAATAAAGCTTCCGGTCCTAAGAGGTCACTCTGATTTTTAATGCCTTTATCCTCCTCCCCCCGCCCCCCGTGACCTATTCCTGTTCTCTCACTCTCAAAGCTCACCAGATATGACTGCAGAGACTGAAATGAGGCCTTTGCCCAGTGCCTCTAAGGTTCAAAGTCTAGGGTTGCAGGCCTTGGAGATAAAGAGAAGAGGGGCTGACAAAAGCTTCCCTAACCTGTGGCACGACATGCACAGCTGTGGGAAGCTGTGTCTAGGAGAGGAGACGGCATACCTCTGTCCACTGTCCTACCAGCCACGTGCATGTGACACCCTCCCCAGAGGATTCTGGGGCATGAGATGATACAGCCCTGAATCAGAGTGCCCGGTGCTGTTGACGAGGAACTGGGAGTAGTTGTTGCCCTTGGTGATAGCTTCCGGGCCCTGGGTGGTGAAGCCATTTTTCTTTCAGGTCATGTTGGGTGATAGTGAACCCTGGGTGAGGACAGGAGGTGGCACGATCATCACTGCATGGAATCTGGGGGAAAGCCCGCTGTTGATTGCTAAGGAGTCTCCCACCAGGCTCCAGCGTAGGGATTGGGTAAGGGGCAGAGGAAGACAAAGAGCTGGGGTCAAGAACAACTCCCAGAGGAGGCTGTGTGGATGCAGGCGGCTGTCACCATGTGACTCCCCAGCCAAGCACTGAGGTCAGACTTGGGTGTGGGGCGAAGGAACAGACATAAGTAAGGACGTGAACTCCTTGCTCAGGAAGACTCGGTGTTCAGCAGCTTCCCATCCCGGGCCCCTGCACCCATACCCCCACCAAGGCCTCATGGACATCAGTGCACTCTGCAGACTGTGAGCATCTGTCTCCCCATCAGCGCCTCACTGGTGTGTAAGAACCTGAAGGCAGTTTGTGTCTTGCTTGTTTCTCAGGCCCTAACACTCCCCTTGTCACGGAGTGGGCAGTATTTTGTCTGCAATAACGGGTTTGCTGGGTTGGGGAGATAGCTCGGCAGTCTAAGCAGCTGACTGGCAAGTGCAAGGACTCAGGATTGATCCCTGGTACCACATGTTGTGCCTGCCCTGGAACCTGGGCGCACCTTGCTGGCCACAGAAACCAGGCATGGTGGCACACACCTGTAATCTCAGTGCTGGGGAGGTTGAGACGGGAGGATACTACAAGTCTGAGCCACATAGTGAGGCCCTGTACTACACAAATAAATAAATAAATAAGGGTTTGCTTTACTTTTATTTTTCCTTCAGCTGAGGACCCTGAAGAATTATCTAGGGGCTGGTGAGATGGCTCAGTGGTCTAAAGCACCTACTTAGAACAAGCTTAGCAAAAAAGCACAGGGATGGGGCTGGTGAGATGGCTCAGTGGTCTAAACCACCTACTTAGAACAAGCTTAGCAAAGCACATGGACCGCGGTTCAATCCCCCAGCACCACGTGCCAGCCAGCCCCGCCCCCTGGTGGTCTGAGTTGGCCACACACACACACACACACACACACACACACACACAAATAAATAAAATTAAAAAAAAAAAAAAAAGAATTATCTAGACCACTGTCCAGGCCCAAATATGGACATTATTTTTCAGTGTTGAGGAATGAACCTAGGGCCTGGTGCACGCTAGCAAGTGCTGTACCACTGAGCTACACCTTTAGTCCTGGATTATGTTTCTCTCTCTCTCTCCCCCCTTGAGATGGAGGCTGATTATATTCCTTAGGCTGGCCTCAAACTCCTCACTTTAAGCAATCTTTCTGCCTCAGTCTCCTGAATAGATGGAACTGTCGGCACAGACCACTGTGCCAAGCTTTGGGTGACGATGACTTCCTCATTGTTACCATTAGTGATACTGGGGGCCGAGCCAAGGCCTTCCCCACTGAAATACATTCATAGTCTTTTTTTGTTTTGACATAGGGTCTTGTTAAGTTGCTCCAGGTAGGCTCGAGTTTGTGGTTCTCTTTTCTAGCTCGGATGGCTTATTTTTGATCATAGCGTCATGCAAGAGGAAGGCTTGGATGTTTGTAAAATGTAGGGCCTGAGCCCGCATGCCTGTCTGTGCCCTCACCTTGTGGTGGCAGGGCATAGACCCCTGCATCTAGCCCACAGGTTTGCCCAGCCCCACTTCGTTCATGGAAGAAGGATTTTGGCCTCTCGGTGTATAGCCAGGCCCCTGAGATGTTACCACCCCTGGCTTTCTGTGGCCAGAGACCCTCTTCAGCCTGTGTCTCAAGGACGTGGTGGGGGCGGGGGTCTCCTATAGGCTCCTACTGTCCCTGGGAGATGTCCCCTTAGTCCTGGGCAATCTCATTCGCCCATGGGATTTTCTGCAAATACATCATAAGTCTCCAGTAGTAGTCCCCACCTTCCAAACTGTCAGAGTGTGGATCTGCCAGGCCTTTCCCTCTTCCACCTTGGTGCTGGAGAAGTTGGTCACTTTGCTGTCTGATTCACCTATATTAACCCAGGACTTCATGCCAGCTGCCTTCTGTTCCACTATGAAATGTGTCACAGGCTGCCTGCCTGTCCACTGGGGCCTTCCACTTCCCGTGCTCACGATTATCCTAGAGTTCCAGGAACTCCACTCACCCCTAGGGAGGTTTGGGACGATCTGGGAACAGACAGCAGCTTCACAGTGCAGCATGGGAACGAAGGCCCAGAAAGGGCTTAATTACTGCTTAGCAGAGGACTGGTGGGCTTGGGGCACAGCTGCATGCTGAGCCTTTTTGGGGTCCCCTGCTCTATCTTCCTAAGCCCATCCCTGTAGGACTTGCTCAAAGGCCCCAGTTTTTGCTCTGAGTCCCCCTGTTCCCATCCAGATGCGCTCTCTTCCTCTTTGAATGTCAGAACACGAGGGGTCTCTGGCGTCACAGTCTACCTTATGTTATAATTGCTCATCTGTCTACCACTTCAATCCCTTTCTGGTAGAGGAATCACTGAAGATACTTCACTTCTCTGTCCCTGAGACTGAGAACACAGAGGACATTTCTTCTTTCCACCCATAACTTGCTGGAAGTACAGGCAGAGGTGGTGATAGGATGCTTTGGACCTCGAAAGTAAGCGCAGTGAGGCCTGCTGTTATCTTGCCCTCATCCATGCTGAGACCCATTCCAACCCCATTCCCGCCCTCATTTGGCTCTTAGGTCATCATCCTCCTTCCCGTCTCTCTCCATCTCACCCCTCATCCCACTACTTTTGCCAGTGGACCGAACTTCTGCTCTGAAATCCCATCTGTGTGTGTGTGTGTGTGTGTGTGTGTGTGTGTGTGTGTGTGTGGTACTGGGGATTGAACTCAGGACCCTGCGCTTGCCAGGCAGGCGCTTATTGTACTGAGCTATCTCTCCAGCCCAGTTCCACCTGCTTTACCTCACTTCCTCTGTAGCTCTGAGCAGTCCTCACCATCCAGCCAATCACAGCACTTCAGTGACACACTGGGAGGTTCCAATGTGCTGCGCACTCAGCTGTGCACATGAAAATCACCAGCTACAGGGGCTGGAGAGATGGCTCAGTGGTCTAAAGCACCTACTTGAAATAAGCTTGTCAAAGCACAGGGACTGCGGTTCAATCCCCCAGCACCACATGCCAGCCAGCCCCGCCCCCTGGTGGGCTGAGCTGGCCACACACACACACACACACATAAAATAAAATAAAATAAAAAAAAAAAAAAAAAAGAAAATCACCAGCTACAGAAATGAGGGCGGGACTCACTGTGTTCCTGTTGGAAAACTGAGGCTAACAGGTTCAGGTGGCCAAGGCCACTTAGGAAGTGAGCGTCTGGCTGGAACACCCGCCAGTTGTTCTGGGTCTCCTCCCCAGCCTGCCACCCACCCTGGGCCAGGGCACCCAGCACTCTGGGATGCAGTGTGGCGGTGCCCGTGCTTGGTCATTCTTGTGCTTGAGCAAGTCCAGGCTGCTGTCTTCTCACACACAGTTGGAGATGGTGAGCTGTACCTGGTCACCCTTGTTCCTCCTCTGTCACTTCCATTTGTCATTGTGCCACGGCAGCTTGGGCAGCGTTCCTGCCTGCCTTGGTGTGCCACATGGTCTACCTTCACAGCCACGGGTGCACTTCCAGTACCTCTAGGGTGGACGGGTGGATGGTAGGAGCATCTGCTCAAGGGCTGCAGGCAGGGGTCTACTGCACGGGCAGGGGGAGGAGTCAGAGGGAATGGGGGTGTGGCCACGAGCATGTGGCCAGGCCACACCTCCCTGAGCTCTGTTTGCATGGAGTCCTATGTACCTTTGTGCCTAAGCTTCCTCTTCGCATCCTTGGCCCCGAGTGGGTACTTCTGCTCTTGTCCTGGGCTCGTGCTGGGGAAGATGAGCAGGTGCCCTGCATCCTGCTTCACGATCTGCACGCCAGGCAAATCCGTGATCTGGTTGGGGCATGGGTAGGTCACCTCCTTCACCCCCTCCCCTGGCCCCTGCCTTGGACCTCCTTGCCATCCTTCAGCACCACGTGATCTCCACCTTCCTGTTGTTCAGCATTATGCACAACTTGGCTGGGCTTGTGCTGGGATTCTGGTGGCCACGGGCGATGGTGGCCACACACTCTGAGGAGAAAAGGGTGTTGGGACCGAGTCAGGGTGTGGGGTGGAGGATGACTCGCCAGCAAAGGGCAGGTGGCGTGACTGTAGGAGTAGATAGGCTACAAAGTGAGTTCAAGACCAGCGTGAACTGTGTAGCGAGACCCTGACTCAGAAAGACCCATAACCCCAAGAAAAATTCCTGCAGAAGGCCTCCAAAAGGACTGAGGGAAATGACCAGGCTCATTAGATAACAAGCCCTTCATCCCCACCCCGTGACTGTAAGGCTTAGGAGGGGAGAAGTATCGTGGGAGATGAGAGAGGAGCCGCTGCTCCAGGAAGAGGCGTTATGTCCTGGGGCCCATTACACGGATTCTATAATTACAGGCTCCATGCTTACTACAGTTAGCAGAGTGAATGAACGAATGCCTCTACCAACACCAAAACGAAGGGAAAAAGAAACTGAAACTCAGGGACACCCAATGTCACCTCTCTAAGAAGCAGTAGAACTGGGGTTTAAACCCAGATCTGTCTGACTCCAAAGGCCGATCAAGCACAAGAGGGAGAGGAAAAGAGAAGAGACAGGTAGAAGGTGGTTTGGGCACCTTCGCTGCTCTCGCATGGGAATTGCAGCGCGTGTCTCAGCGCGTGCGTGGGACGTGCACAGACACCAGTGCACACCAGTGCTTCTGTGAGCCCAGCCCCTGGTCTGCAGGACCCGCCCCCTGCGGGTGCTGACCTCCACTTCCGCTTCTTCATTCCACACAGCTTCTTGAGCAGTCCTCAGGAGTCAGTACAGCTTACTCCATGCAGAGCTTTTCAGTCCTTCTTGGGTACCTTGGACAAAATGTCCAGCATCTCTTCCTCATCTGTCACTTTCTGCTGCTTCTTGGGGGCAGGAGGAGGGGACCAAGCTTATACTGGGTGTCTCCCTCTGAAGACTGGGGAGCCTCTCTCAACCTTGAGATTCCTCCCATTCTTGAGCGGCCTTTGAGAAGCTTCAGCTGGGGAGACAGCACCTGGGTGAGGGGAGCAGCCCCCAGTCTCATCTTTCCTTCAACATCTTCTTGATCTAGTTTTTCTTGATGTGAGGACAGAGGACTCAAGGTCAGACAGAGGGTGCTGATTCCCAACAGAAAAGGCCAAGAGAAGGTGCTGATTCACCTTCTGTCCTAAGCAAGGACATAGTTTAGGTGGCACCTGCCTGCTCAATGCCTGTAATGTAATTGTAGATGTCGGGGTCATCTGAGGTCAGCAGTTACAGTTGGGTCAAAAATCAGTCGCGTGTTAGTGGGAGTGGGGAAAGAAGCAGAGAGAGACTTCTCATGAGATGGAGGAAGAGTGGTTTTGAGGAGAGGGAAGATGGGTGTCCATGTGGATGGGGTGACCTCTGTGACTGGAAAGTACCTAGCAAGTAGCTGATGTGTGTCCCTGGCCTGATTCCATGGCATACAAGCACTGCTTCACTGCCTGGACCATGAGCTCCTAGAAGGGACTTCCTGAGTTGAGACTGTTATGAAGTTTCTGGCACTATGCATTTCCTTACTTATCTCCTTTGTCTTCTTGGTACCAGGCCCTGGGCCGAGCTCACAGGAAATGGTGCATAAGCCTGACTGGGTTCCTGTTTGCGCCGTGCTTACAGCACACCAGCTGGCTCTTGGAAGTCCAGGCTCTCAGAAAGCGCTTGCTGGGTGGAGGAGTGTGTTTCAGGGCAGCCGGCAGGGGAACTCTCGGGAGCTCTGCAGTGCAGTGGGGCCAGGGCCTGGCCTTTGGGGGGAGAAGGAACCCACTTCCCTCAGGGGGACTCTGTCCTGTGGGATCTTGAGGAAGAATTCTGTTGTTCACAAGGGAGGTCAGGGCAGGTCCTGGGTAATTACAGAGATAGGCATAATTACAGGCCCTGGTGTCCCAGTGACCCATCCCTCCCTTTCCTCAAGTGGCTTGAAGGCTGGGGCTGCAGCTGAGCACCAGTGCTCAGAAAGTGACCCAAGGAACTGGTTACACTCAAGGGTGAGCGGCCCTTGGCAAGGTTCTTCTGGATACCCCAGCACCTCGACCTTACCCCTGCTGCAGGACCCACCATGAGATCTTGAGGTCACTGTGCAGTCCTCGTTCATCCTTGCTCCACCCACTCTGGACCGGCCCTCTGCCCAGCCTTGTTCATCACTTGGCCTCTCCACCTTTGGCCAGGCCCCTGCCTAGCTCTGCTTGGTCCTGAGGGTAACCATGGACCCCAGCGCACCTGCAGTTCCTGCGGGACCCTCAGCTTGGCTTCACCAAGGTTTGTGCATTGCATTGGGGGGTAGGGTGCCGCTGTGGGAGTGACACAATCTCTGGTGAGGAATTGGGTGAGATTTCTCCATGAGCTCAGGGAGGCTCTCACCCTCAGGGATGCTGGAACTCCGGGTCACCAGGAGAAGAACTGCATGAAGTTCACGGACCTCTGCAACGTGGCTTTCTCGGTCTTAGAGGGCAGGTGAGCATCAGATGAGGCTCAGGTGGAAGCACAGCCTGGGATCGGAGGACTCATCTTTGATTGACAGCCTGGTGGAGCAAGGGAACCAAGGGCATTGAAGGCTTGTGGGATGGGACCCCGGGTCATTGTGTTATGTCAGATTTCTGTCACCAGAAGCCACCAACTCCTTTTATCCCCCAGGGCTGTCTGAGCATTCTTTTCTTCTTTTTTAATTTTGAGGTTTTTTTTTTTTTCCTTAAAAAGGAGACTTTCTGTTTGGGATTGTTTTGTTTCCTGGACTTTTCTCCTGAAAATCCTGGATCCTGGTAACATAACTCAGGCCTGCTTCTCCTGGGAGGGAGATAGTTTAGCTGAATGTTGTTCTAGATTCTCTGCTGTCACTCTGGTTTAGCTTTATTGGAGTATGGATTTATTAATAAGACTTTTTTTTTTTCAGAACTGGGGGTTGAACCCAGAATTTCCTTCAAGTTCCCTACCTCCTGCCTTTTGCAATTTTAAGTTTTGAGACAGGGTCTCAGTAAATTGACCAAGTTGGTTTCAAATTTGCAGTTAATCCTCCTGCCTCAGCCTTCTGAGTAGTTGGGATTATAGGCGTGGGCCAGCATCCCAGGCAGGTTTAGTGATTTTTTTTTTTTAATGTATTTGGTATGGGGTCTCATTATGCAGCTCAGGCTTGTAGTGATCCTCCTGTTTTCAGCCTCTCCAGCTTTGGGATTACAGGCATGCGCCACTGTGTCCAGACTCGGTCTCTGGCTTAGAGCGCCCAGTGTGGCATGCGGGACCGGGAATCGAACCCTGGTCCCGGCTCTTGCCTAAGCAGGTGCTTAGAGTTTGGTGATTCCTGAAAGGAAAAGACACACCTCAGCAGGGTTCCATGCGGGAATCACCTCATCGGAAGAGCAGATCCACTTTTTTCTTGGTGTTGAGGATCAAACGCTGAACTAAGCATGTTCTCTGTCACTGGGCTTTACCTCCAGCGCCCAGAGCATTTCAATGTAGTAATATAATTTTGTATTTGGAAGACAAAAACTGGCTATGAAGGATAAAGTATGGAAAATCTTGGCTGGTGAGTTAGCAAAGAAGAACACCAGCTCTGATTCCTGGGGTCCTTTCTCTGTGTCTGGAATGGGGTTTGCCACATGTTAGAGATGGCTTCATTTGACCCTCCCAGCATCCCAGTGAAGCAGGAGCTTTTGTCATCCCTGCTAATCTGAGGCACAGAGCTGAAAAAACAAATGTGCTACGAAGCCCTCATAGCCTGCTTTTAAGTATAGACATAGACAATGTCATTTATTTTTTTATTTTTATTTTTTTAATTTTTTTTTATTAATTTGTGTGTGTGTGTGTGTGTGTGTGTGTGTGTGTGTGTGTGTCCAGCTCAGCCCACCAGGGGGCGAGGCTGGCTGGCATGTGGTGCTGGGGGATTGAACCGTGGTCCCTGTGCTTTGCTAAGCTTGTTCTAAGTAGGTGCTTTAGACCACTGAGCCATCTCACCAGCCCCAGACAATGTCATTTAAATGGCAGTGTGCAGGCATGTCTTTTACTTGACCTCCAATGTGTATGCAAAAAAGTAGGTTTGCATCTGAAAATTGAAAGGTTTCATATAAAAGTTCGGGTTGCTGTATTCTGCACCCTGGCTCGTGTCCCCATCTGGCAGCAGTCTGTGGAAGCTGAACTGAGGCTCCTCTGCACGTAGGGTGCCAGAATGCCTGATGCAATGGTCTGCTGTTTGACTCAGGTTTTGCCATTTTTCTGCTCACACCCTTACCCCTCTGGGGTGCAGTCAGGCTGAGAATCACTGCTATGAATCTTGTGTGTTCCGCTTCTGGTCTACACCACTGACCTCAAATCCCAGCTGCTGCACTTGCTCTGCTTCAGTGGCCAGGAGTGGTTGGTGTAGAGTGTTTGTCTGGCCTTGTCCTTGTGTGCAGCAGACTTTGAGTGGCTGTGTCCTGGGACTTGGAGGGAGAGGCAGTGACTTTGAGGATGTATATTCAATAGCCTGGACCCTAGCCATCTTTTAATAACGTTCCACTAGCGACATGACCTAACCAGTCTGCTTTGCTCCTGAGATCCTTTTTCAGCTTTCTTTTGGATCTGCCCTCCCCCAGGTCTGGCCCCCAAAGGCTAACAGCCTCGGAGCTTAAGTCGCTTGTTTATGTGTTCATCTTGCCTCCACCAGTAGCAGGTCTCCCATTTCTTAAGTGGGACAGGGTCAGCATTACTCGTATGCAGATAAGCATCCTACCTTCTCCTAGACCTGAAATTCTACCCCAGGACATAGAGTCTATTTGCCTCTGGGTCTGATCTCCTAAAGCAATTAAGAGTTTATCAATCCATCCTACACACCCATGTGATTGATTTATTCCTTATCTGTCTTCCTGGAGCTCTGATCTGTGGGTGAACATCCAGAGCTCCCACCTGGAAGCATAGGTTGGGGTTGCTATGGGCTCCAAGGTGCCCATGCTAATGATAAAGTAAGAGTTCTTGTGTAGGTGAGTGTGGGGGAAGAAAGGCTGCCCCTTCCGGACACTGGTACCGCCCCCCTTGCTTCCCTGGTCCTGGTTGTCTGGGAGAAGGTGTGCATGTGGGTGGTGGAGCTGGAGAACTCCATGGGCACGGGTTCCTTCATGGATATAAGCTCCTGTAGCATCTGCTGGTGGTGAATGGTCGTCATGGTGATAGCAGGCTTGGGCACTCACCTGCGAGGACCAGGAGAGGATGAGGTCATGAAGGACGAGGGAAGAGGGCTATCTAGAAGTGACTGCTCATCCTCTCTCTGTCTCTGCTTGTTCCTCCCATATATATTTTCACACATTTGCATGTGGACACAAGAAATGGAATGTACAGGAGAGAATGAGGGGAGCAGGCAGCACATCTTTACTCTTGGATCGCTTTGCTTCCGGTTTCTCCTTCTCTGATTGGTTACAAGGGCCAACATTCTTTTCCTGATGTACTTGCCAACCAATCATGCCCAGTTAAGAGCCCTGGTTAGCGGAACCAGGGAAACAAGGGTGGATGTTTCACCAGGAAGGAATGAAGTGAGACCAAAGAAGAGACTTCTTGACTCAGCTATATGGAGTGGGCCTTAAAAGAAAGATGTGGATCCTCTTTGGGATCGGGGTTCCCCTGGTGTTAGTGAATGCTAAGCAGATGAAAGTGTATTTCCATAGCTCTGCTTTCATTTGCCACACAGTAAAGGCAGATATTTAGTTCCCATTTCTTATGCTTTTGTCTGAACTGCTGGGGGCCGTAGAGATGGCTCAGTGGAATAAGCACTTTCCTGGCAAGCACAAGGGCCTGAGTTCAGTCCCCACTTCCACAAAACAAACAAACAATGAACTGAACTGTTATTTCAATCACATTTTAAAAGCACTATAAAATCTACCTCTCCTCACAGATAGCTGTGTGAAGTGCCTCATTTTCTCCCTGAGCTACTCCAGGCAAATGTGGATAATTGCTGTTGTCTTTCTTCTCTTTACTTTTTTTTTTGGTACCAGGAATCAAACTCAGGACCTCATGCTTGCTAAGCAGGTGCTGTGCCACTGAGCTACATCCCTGGCCCTCTCCTTCCTCTTTTTGTACATCAGGAAGTCTACTACACACACTTTTTTTGACCTTTTTTTCCTCCACTTACTCTATTTTTATTTAAGTACTATTTTTTATATATTTCATACAGGGTCTCACTATGCAGCAGCTCAGACTTGTAGTGATCCTTCTGTTTTTAGCCGCACCAGCACTGGAACTACAGGCATGTCACCCACACTCAGGTCTCGGTGGCAGGTTCAGTGCACCTGGGAGCGGGGCTGGAGTGGCATGTGGTGCCAGGGATCAGACCCTGGTCCCTGTGCTTGCCTAAGCAGGCACTTAGTGTGCTGAGCTATCTCACTGGCCCCACTTACTCTATTTTTGAGATCATTACATAGCAGGTCATGGAGATTCCTCATGGGTAAGAACTCCATAGCATTCTGATGAAAGGAGGTATCTTGCCCAGAAGAGATTTACTTGATCAGACTGCAGTTTTCAAAACCCTTCTGGTACATGAGGAAACTGATGTGGAGAAAAATGACCTGTCCCTGGTCACTGGGAGCACAATCCAAGCTCCTTGGTGCCAGGCCAGGCCCTGCCAAGAGCCTTCACCTGAGCTCCTGCAGTGGTTTGAAGCTAGGTCCCACTTCTTGCTGTACATCTCTGTCTGGGCTGCTCCACCCTTGAATCTGAGACCACCCCCTCAGCTTGTGCTACTGCCCCCTCTCGCTGTCTCCTTCATGCCACGCCACCGGGCTCAGAGGGTACCAGGCTGGGCCCCGAAGGAAGAGGGAACCCTTATCTTTTGTGCAGCTCCGTACTTCCCACACTTGAATGCTGTGTCCACAGCTTGGAGGCTCAGCTAGTGCCTGCGCTGCAGGGTGGGCAGTCTCCCCACTGTGCCCCAAGAGCAAGGCTGAGAGTCTTAAGTCTTTGAATGCCTGCACCCTGGGGGTGATCCTTTACTCATAGGCTTCTTTAGCCAGATAACTCCTGCTTTGGGAGTTGGTGGCAGCGGTGGCAGCTGCTGGATTCAGGGTTGGAGGAAATCTTGGGGCCCAGGAGTATGTTTCCTGTGTCCCCTGGTGGAAGTTTTCTTCTCAGTGCTGCTGGGTGGGACCTGCGAACCGAGGCGTGTATGTACATTCACACACTTGGGTTCACACATGTGTTGTTCAACAGGGGCCAGGAACAAAACCCAGGTCTTTGTGTTCCCGGGAAGGGGAAGGATGTACTAGGGAGGGCAGGGAATCTGCTACACAGTACAGGTCCAGGGGGCAACATTCAGGCTGCACCGCGTATGTGGTGCATGCACAGCCTAAGGGCTCTTACGAGAACTCCCTGGGGAAGGAGGGGGGCCGCGAGCATGCCACTCCCTCCGCACTCCCAAGCCTGATCTCCGTCATGGGGGTGGAAAGGCCCCTTCTGCATAGGTAGAGCTCACTCTGAGGACAGCTGACGAGCAAGACACTTTCTCCAGGGCCCCCACTTGGACGCTTCAGCCAGCCCCATTCTTCTAGTCTGCAGCAGGCTCTGCATGCCTGGACCCTTGAGCAACCCACGCAAGGTCTTGGCCCCTTGTAGGGACCAGCTGGCTGGCCAGAAACCCTGCCCTGGAGTGACAGCCCTCTGCTATCAGTTGTGTCACAGCTACTTCTGCTCCACTCCAGGGGCCAGGGGGTAAGAATAGAGCAAGAGTGTCTGAGATGGCTTAGCATCCAATTCCCTGGGCCCTTGGGAGGGGTGACTCTCAGCCTGACCTTGCAGGGGGATGGCTGGGCTGCAGCTGCTTTGGGGACCTGACCCGCGGGGCTCACATGGAATCAGTTCAACAGGGAGGAACCTGGGAGCGACCTGAACGTGCCCTTGTCCCAGCCTTGACCTCTCTGGCCCACTTGATGCTGCTGATGGCCTTCTGACCACAACGAAAGCTTCCTATAGCTGTTTTTGTGATCCCTCTAGCCTAGGGCACCTGGACAGGGTGGGGCTGACTGTGTGTGAAAATTCTACAGAAGGGATTTTGGCTTTTCAAATTTGGTCTTGTGCCATACCCCAAATCCCCACAAGGGGAGCCAGTGAGCACAAGCAGAAGGTTCAGGGTGCTTGGGTGGGAAAGAGCTCAAAGCCTTGAGGTACAGGGAGGCAGAAAGCAGGATGGAGAGCTAAATCACACAGACCCAGGAGGCTAGTTTTGCTCAAAATGCTCTGTTTATTGCTCTATTCAATGACCACGGGCGAATTATAAAAAGACACCAAATGTCTCTGTTGTGGAATAAATATTTAAAGTTAGCAATAAAAACACGTGGCTCCAAGATAACACGTTGCCAAAGAGTCATGCATGCCCTGCTGGTGGGCTCTCAACACACACACACGGACACGGGGACACACGCAGAGCGACACGCAGTAAGACTCTCGGGACAGCTTTCCCACCTAACGCAGGAAGAGGCGTCACGGATTTTGGGGGCTGAGTCCCCACCCCGCCCTCAGAGCTCCCTCCTGTCACCCCCACCTGTCCCCTTCCTCTCCCATGCCTCACATACTAGTCACTGCCACCTGTGCCACCTGAAGGCACCTGACACCCCAGGCCACCTGGGCTGTGATGCCCACCCCAACCCAGAGGCCGTCCTTGGCTGGGGGCTCCCTATGTCCGGCCTCCAGGTCCTCTGCAATCTCGCCCTCTATGTCCGGTGTCTCATCAAAATGCAGCCTGCCTGCTGGGGTTGGTGGGGTGGGGGACCCGAGGCAGGCACCTCTGCCTGGGCTGCCAACGGGCCGGAGCTCAGACCCCTTTCCTGGGCTGAGGAGACACAGTGTCCGGTACAGACAGCAGAGATGGATGGACAGACAACACGCTGCGGCAGGACACTCAAGAGTGCGGCATGGAAATGTTATGGATCAAGTAGCGATGGAACCATTGTTAAAACTGAGGTCCCTGGGCTGCACCGCGTGGGTCAGGCTCCGGGGCCCCAGGCCTGGCCTGGCACATTCCTCCCCGCCCTCCCCACTCCCCGTATATACAGTAGGAAAAGCTATGCCGGGGTGGGGGCCAGGCCAGGCTGCAAAAGGAGGGAGGGCACACGCTGGAGGGGAGGGGAGCAGGGCGGCGGGGGGAGCAGGCCGGGACCCAAGGCATGGCCCGGCTGCTGGGCAGGGCCTGGAGGAGCTGGGAGGAGGAGCACGGTCACTCCAGGGACTGGCGGGACAGCTGCTTCTCATAGAGGCTCATGACGTGGTGCACAAACTGGTACTGCTCACAAGTCTGGATCATGCCACCCCTGCCCGGCAGAGATGCACAGTGGGGCTGGGCTGCCTGAAGGGACCCTTACCCAAGGTGTACCCGTACTTAGGAGCCGAGCTGGGGCCTTGTCTTTGGGCAGTGTGGAGAGGCAACCCTGGCCAACCTCCATCCCTGCCCTTCCTTGCCAGGGACACAGACTGGGTGTCCTAGTGCTCTGGTCTGCCCGTCCACCAGCTCTGTCTCCCGTTTCCCTCCAGAAGAGGACTGGGCTGCAGCCCATCCCTAGAGAGCCACCAGGTACTCTGCCTGTTGTCTTGTCTGTGTTGTCTGCCCCTCCCCCGTCAGACCCTCCCTGCTGCCGCCCCACCTGGGCTGACCTGTCCTGTCGGAGCTGGCACGTGGTCTTCAGGATGTCCACCACGCCCTCGTGCCGCAGCTGCTGGCAGCAGATGCTGGTGGCAATGAAGCAGCCGGTCCTCCCGATCCCTGCACTGAGGGCATGGGGGAGGGTGGGTGAGGGGCGGGCCGCAGGGCTGGGGCAGGGAGGTCAAGAGAACCCACCTGCAGTGCACGACAATGGGGGCACAGCGGGCCCCCTCCTGCTGTGCTGCCTCTTCCACCTCCCGCACCAGGTGGAGGAGTGGGGGCGCCCGGTCCGGGGTCTTCTGATCAGGCCAGGATGTGAACCAATAGTGCTTCAGGCCTCGTTCTTCAGTTCCGCTCTGTCCCGGAAACAGAGGCCCCGCCCCCGACACGCATGAGCTCTTTGAGCCCAGAGCAGTGACAGGAGGAGGGGAAGGGGCACAGGGAGGAGAGGCCTGCAGTCCTCTGGTCACCGCCCCCTGCTCCAGGTACCAGGCAGAGGCCCAAAGCAGTCTCCACTGGCCTGTTCTCTGGTGCTGGGTCAGCGACGCCGAGATCACC